GATTCGTAATCAAGGATAGATGTAGATGTCTATGGGCCGCAGCAACCACTTACCATCAGGTGTACTGTGTGCTCGTTTGTTATCCTATCCTATAAAAAATATCCATTGCATGTCATTAATACTGCTTTAACAAACGTGTTAGAAGTTATTCTTTTCAAAAGGCTAGCTGAATTTTTAAAGCTGTGCCCACCTTTCATTTAAATGTGATTCCCAGCTCCAATAAGTATCAACAGTTAAGCACAAGAATTTTTTAAATGCACCCCCCTGTATTATTTCTGACTCATGTTCTATATTTAATGGTAACGATTTTTGAAATTTGGAATAAAACTGTATAACACGAGTTTTTGTCAAATTAATACTAAATTGGTTACGGTTTAACCATTACACAATATTCCCGAGTGTAATGCTAATATTTGATTGATATAATTGATCTGATGAGTATGGTGCAGTCATCTGCGTTTATTATTATTGGATTTTGAATATGTTTTGGAAGGTCCTTTATAAACAACAACAAAAGAAGGGGCATAATACAGTGCCCTGTGGAACACCGTGGCTTATTACTCTATGTTTCGATCTGTTAATTGTCAATATTTTTGTATTATAACAAAAGATATTTAGTTCTGTGGCTTGTTTCCTATGCAAAATGTATGAATTAAACCAATGAAGAGCCTTTCCTCGAATGTCACACATCTCCATTTTATCTAATAGTATTTTATGATTAACACAGTCAAAAGCGATTGACATATCAGTAAATATCGCCGAAATGTTAATTCTTCTGTCTAATAACTCGTGTATAGTTTTCGTAGGATTATATATGGCTAGATTTGTAGATTTATTTTTATGAAAACCTTTTTGCTCATTAAAAATAATATTATATTTATCCAAAAAATTAATAACCCTTTTATACACAACTTTTTCAAATAATTTTGCGAAAATTGGGATTAGTGCAACTGGTGTGTAGTTTTTCATGTTGTATATTTCAACTGTTTTGTACAATGGTTTAATTATAGTATTCTTTTGTTTTGCGGGAATTCTCCAGTAACAAAAGATAAGTTTATTGCATATGTGAGAAAGGCTGTTATGTATACTGCACTTCTTTCATTATTTTGGTTAAAATTTCATCGGGTCCAACAGATGCTGTGTTTTTTTATTAACTTGATGTCATTAAATACTTCATGATATTAAGCTGGTTATGTAAATTCATAATACTGAATCATAAATAAAATGTTTCAGTTCTATGATCTACGTAATCGTGTATATTATAAGAATATGATCCTTTCGTGTTTGGCAGAGAGTCTATAAAATGGTTGTTAAAGTAAGTAGCCATTGGTTTTTTATATTTTATTTTTTTTAACATTGACCACAATCTTTAGTATAGTTCTTTGTACAACATTATGACCAAGTAGCCTTAGCCTTGTTACTAGCATTTTCTATTAATAGTTGATTTTTAAAGGAAAATGCTTTTGTTATCGCTCACTTTTTACAATCCTTCAGCGTCGAAAAATATTTTAAATTTGATTGCCTCGTGTCCCGGGATTTTAGTCTTGAAAATCTTATGGTAACTATTTTATTTATAAAAGGTCCCGAAAGATTTCTATATTCCATAGAATATAGGGGGCAGTCCCTATATTCTATGCTACATATGCTTTTCTATTCAAATCCTACATATTATTCAATATGGGCGAAGGTTGGGATATTGGTTAAGTCGTTCCAAGTTTTTCTCGGATTAAATATATCATTGATTATTACGGGCATTGCTCTCTATTTATTCATGAATTTTCATCAGAGTCGGTATAACTATTCTGAAGGTTTGTCCGAAAAATAGTTAAAAAATGTTATTTTTATGTTAATTTCATGCAAATAACTCTTAATAGAACAGAGTTATTTCAATAGTACAGACAGACTTAAATTTTATTTATATTGTTAGGTTCCATAATTAATGCCTGGTATCGACTAGCAGAACTAGGAGAGTCAAGATCCTTCTAAAGATTTTTCATTCCATTCAATCCATTCCATGCCAGAACTTTCTACACCTAGTGAGTCGGAACCGGTATGTTCTCGAACATTCTAGAAGTTTCAGTAAAAGAGGCTCTATATAGGGCTGATATAGACCGCGACCCGGGTCAGTATTGAATTGGCGATGCAAGCGAATACTTCGAAGCGATACAACTGCTCATCAAAGTGACCAGTAGTACAATTGTGTTTTATTATTAGTGTTTTAAGTTGTAATTGGTGTTCTGTAATTAAAGTGTCAATTTTGTTAATTCAATCGGCAATTCTATTGTCACGAACCCCAGGCTCGTAAAAATTTGTATAGATGGCGAATATTTCTTAATTTTTTTTTATTTTATTACTTATTAGAGTCGGAAAATAAAGCCGACTCAAATACAGAAAAATAATCCATATTTGCAATATAATATAACTTTCATTTTCGGAAATTTAGCTTTTGCAATAGCCGGTAAACTTTTTGACGTGAACTTAAAAATAATTGGAATCCAAATTTGAATTATACAAAAATAGTAAAATAAGTAAATAAAATAATTCTTAAAACTTCCGATCAATCACCAATTAAGTTTTTTTAAAGGTAAATATTATTACTATCGTGTAGTGCTGGTGTTGGAATATCGTCCCGAAAGTGTCGTAAGAAACGATAGGGGAGAAAAAGAAGGTGATGGGCAACAGCTTTTTACTGAAAACAACTGAAAATAATAAAAAAAACGTTTGCCAAGCTTGTTAACAATGGCAAAATCCCCCCATGAGGTAATCTATGAGGGAAGCCTAGGTCCAGCAATAGACTTTTATATGTTGTAATGGATGGATTGATGCTAATATATGTGTCATCTAAATCTAGTCTTTAAAAAATGCGTTTCATAAATTTTGGCAAAATCCCCCCCATGAGGTAATCTATGAGGGAAGCCTAGGTCCAGCAATAGACTTTTATATGTTGTAATGGATGGATTGATGCTAATATATGTGTCATCTAATTCTAGTCTTTAAAAAATGCGTTTCATAAATTTTGGCAAAATCCCCCCATGAGGTAATCTATGAGGGAAGCCTAGGTCCAGCAATAGACTTTTATATGTTGTAATGGATGGATTGATGCTAATATATGTGTCATCTAAATCTAGTCTTTAAAAATGCGTTTCATAAATTTTGGCAAAATCCCCCCATGAGGTAATCTATGAGGGAATCCTAGGTCCAGCAGTAGACTTTTATATGTTGTAATGGATGGATTGATGCTAATATATGTGTCATCTAAATCTAGTCTTTAAAAAATGCGTTTCATAAATTTTAGCAAAATCCCCCCATGAGGTAATCTATAAGGGAAGCCTAGGTCCAGCAATAGACTTTTATATGTTGTAATGGATGGATTGATGCTAATATATATGTCATCTAAATCTAGTCTTTAAAAAATGCGTTTCATAAATTTTGGTAAAATCCCCCCATAAGGTAATCTATGAGGGAAGCCTAGGTCCAGCAGTAGACTTTTATATGTTGTAATGGATGGATTGATGCTAATATATGTGTCATCTAAATCTAGTCTTTAAAAAATGCGTTTCATAAATATTGGCAAAATCCCCCCATGAGGTAATCTATGAGGGAAGCCTAGGTCCAGCAATAGACTTTTATATGTTGTAATGGATGGATTGATGCTAATATATGTGTCATCTAAATCTAGTCTTTAAAAAATGCGTTTCATAAATTTTGGCAAAATCCCGCCATGAGGTAATCTATGAGGGAAGCCTAGGTCCAGCAATAGACTTTTATATGTTGTAATGGATGGATTGATGCTAATATATGTGTCATCTAAATCTAGTCTTTAAAAAATGCGTTTCATAAATTTTGGCAAAATCCCCCCATCAGGTAATCTATGAGGGAAGCCTAAGTCTAGCAGTAGACTTTTATATGTTGTAATGGATGGATTGATGCTAATATATGTGTCATCTAAATCTAGTCTTTAAAAAATGCGTTTCATAAATATTGGCAAAATCCCCCCATGAGGTAATCTATGAGGGAAGCCTAGGTCCAGCAATAGACTTTTATATGTTGTAATGGATGGATTGATGCTAATATATGTGTCATCTAAATCTAGTCTTTAAAAAATGCGTTTCATAAATTTGTTAAATTGGCTAAATCTCCACAGTCCACGGGAGCGTAGCCATCCATTTGTACCAGTTCCAAAGATTCATGATTGGTAACAATTTACATAATATGAAATTCAAGTCGGGGACTCTGCCCCCGAGCCTCTACAGCAAACTTATGTCATATTCCTTTTACGTAAAAATTTTTCATTGAAGAATAATTTTAAAGAAGATGGAGTGTCAATCCGTGTCATTCCATATTTTTTTCTTTGTTGTAAACATTATCTCCACACTAGGAATTTCTCCTATATCGTGGGGGCAGTTTACATACATAAGCTCTACAAGGACAAACTTCTTGACCTAAAATAATTATTTCTAAGCCATATAAATACTTGTTCCTTGTAACATTTGAACCCGCGGCCCTTAGGGCTGTAACTTAATGCTAAGCCACTGCACTTCGGAGCTGTCAAAATAAATTTACTAGTAGTTCTTCTTGAAATTTTTCCCATTTAATTTTAATTTTTATAATGTTACTATTCTAAGGAGTAATATTTGCCATAGTTGCCATACTTGGCAGGCGGGTTGGCAACCAGAATCAACAGTTGGTTCTTTTTCTAGGGGTTTTGGAAAGACTCTACTGCCCATTTCCTGGTTTGTTTCCCTCAATCACCTCTTACGAAATCGGGTAGTGGATACATTTACACTGCCACTACACGGCTTAGTAATAATAATATTGATACATAACTTCACTTTCATTCACTTCTAACTTTGTTTTAGAACAAAAACTTTGAAGATGCCATGGAGTGCAGCGGCGGCAGTGAGGTGACGAATCCGTACACAATGGAACCATTCGAAACCTCTACAATTTGCAACGGATAAAACTGGGAAGTGGAGAGAGAACAGATTAACAAGGACACTATGGAGATGAATGGGACGGAACCACGTGGCGAGGAAGTGGCAATTGCGTTAGCGTTGAACGTGGCCGTCACCGTCATCTCCTCTATTGGACTGCTGCTCAACGCTTACATATTGTTCATTATTGTTATAACTAAACAGGTGAGATTTGTTACACTTGTTATTCTCGTATATTTTATAAAATATATTTTAAAGGTACTTTTGCGGTACTTTCGACAAAACTTGAAAGAAAGTCAAAAATAAAATATTTAATGTACTTTATAAAGTTGCCAAACTTTAATTCTACGATTTATGAGAGGCCTTATTGTTTTTACTCTTGAAATGGACTTCAGGTTCGTATATTAGATTAGATCAGAAATAGTCGTAGATACATTATTTCGATGTTAAGATTCATATATCAATAATAATGGTACCTAATTCTGAGAGAAAAAATGTGTGTATATATATATATATATATATATATATATATATATATATATATATAAATTACTCTAAAATTTAAACACATTTATGTTATTGGTAAAAGTGATTCTCTTAAACCTAGATAAATATCAAAAAGTGGAATAATCTTTATTATTCGTTTTAATCATTAAATAATCAGATCAAAAACCTAATTATTAAAACCAAGAAAGATTATTTTTACTTTAATGGAAGGATATTCATTACTATATAGATTTTTACTATATAGAAAAAAACGAGGAATTTCATACTGGACTCGAATTTTTCGTACAGTGTCGAACTGTGATTTATTTGCTTTTTAAAAGTAGGATATTCTTCATTTTTTCTTTGAATTTATATGGGTGGCCCCATATAAATCCCCCTTCCCCAAAAAAACATCTTTAAGAGTGGAAAAATATATAGATCCTAAACATTTTACTGTAACTATTTAAACGACAATTCAGTTGTTATCTTGAACTTGTGACATTCCTAGTTCAAAGTAAAATATTCTTTTTAACATATTTTTTTTCTTAGACACCACTACTTTTAATAATATTAATACGTTTTAGTACGCTTTAAATATAAATAGTGCAGAGAAATAATTATAAAAAATGTATAACCTTGTCCAGTATTTCTGAAAGTCTGAAACAATAGAATATAGGAATTCAGTTATGATTTCATTTTTGTACGAAGAAACCACTCAGAATCTCTATATATTGTGGTGCTGAGATTAGTGGTGACGGCATTAGTGCACGAAATTGGGGGAGAGCGGGAGGTGCTCTTCAATCCGGGTAAGACACATCATTGTATTTAATTAATCGGATGGTTGCGAATTAAATTTTTATTTATTTATTTATTTATTTACACTTTATTGCACCATAAAAAGATTACAAAGGGCGGACTTAAGATGGCTTCTCTCAGACCGGATCTCTATATTTGATCGATAACTTTGATTTGACGCAAATTAAAACAATTTCTTTGAGTAGGAATTATTCATAACAAAGCGATGGATAACCATATCAGTAAATGTTATAGTATATTCATGCTGATGTGTGGCAGCGTAAGAAATACTCTACGCCTTCCCATTGGTGTCGAAATTGACGACAGAAAGATACTGAAACTGTGGAGCATCATCTTCCTGGTAGCAACTCAAAATAACAAGCTGTCAACTCGGCTGCCAAGCGTGGCGACTATGTTCCCAAAATTTTTCCCTCTAAGGTAATCTATAGATGATACCTAGGGTAGACTTAGACAAGTTAATATAATCAAGTTAGAATTACTGTTATAAATAAATTTTATGACCACTATAATCGTAAATAATCTAATTTCCGTTTGAAATTGGACTGTGCGATACAAAGCGTGACTGTATATGCAGCGTTGAATAAACTAACAGTACACAAAGGTTGAACCGTCCGGTTGCATTCACGGTTACATAAAATGGGCTAATGCGTTTTCAGTGTACGGAAGCTATTTCTGGGATAGTATCTGTTTTGAGAAATAAATTTGTTAAAAGCAAACATACAAATCTCAACCGACTCAATATTTTAACTGTATTTCTGGAATTGCATTTCGTGTTCAATTTTAGTTTTTTATGTAGATTTCTATGGGCCAATTATAATCAGGTATGTTGTGTGCTCGTTTGTTACCCTCATTCTACAAAACGATATAAATATTCCATTAAATTTTAATTTGAGGTTAATAATATAAAATAATATAAAGCCGTGGTAGCTCAGTGGTTAACGCTCGCTGTAAATATAACAGAACGCGAGTAACCCGGGTTCGATCCCCGCCGGCACCAATGAAATTGTTAATTGCAATTTTAAGTGCTGATTTACCACGTGCTCGGCGGTGAAGGAAAACATTGTGAGGAAACCTGCAAGTCTGAGGAATAAGAAAAAAAATATTTCGAAGACATGTGAAGTTCGTTAACACGCATTTGGGCAGCGCGGCGGACACTTCCTTGCCCTAAACCCTCTCAGAAATGAGGGGAGGCCTGAGCCCAGCAGTGGGACGTATATAGGCTGTAACTTTACTTTACTTTTTTTAATAATATAAAATATAGCTAAAGTTGTACACAATTATTATCGCCACACCAATGAAATTTTAAACCTATGTAATCCTATAATGATCTCTTAAATTTACGCGAACACTACACATTGAATAAAACTAAATTTACGGATTCTATCGCGTTTATTTAACTGATTTTACTTATTTTTAATACCCGTCGTTTTGCGTAAATCGGACCAAAAATTAATATTCAAAAACTGAAGGTAGCCGGGCTAACAATGACATTGGGACGTCAAACATCTCTGTCCCCCCCGTGACCATGGATGCTGTAAAGCACCCGCAACGTCGGGAATTAAAAATAAGTAAAAGCAGTTAAATAAACGCGATAGAATCCGTAAATTTAGTTTTATTCCTATGTAATCCTATTAAACGTGCAATCATTAAAATATTTTCCAACAACCTATAGAGATATTATTTAGTGAAGTAGACCATTTTCATCTGTGCTTTCTGGGTCCAATTAGGGGAAATGTAAGCCCAGAAATAGAATTAAATATAATGAAATATTTTTATTGTTTTAACGTATAATATTGAAATTTTGTGTGTCACGTTTTTAAAGCCGTTTTACTGACCGGAAAAAAACGGAACCACGCTCGCTTTTCTATGAAAATTCTACACAAGTAATTTTGTGTGGGAATTGTCACACTAGACTCCACAAGCACCTGTTTACAAGTATGATACATGCTGCAATTATCGCCCTCCTATTAAAAGCACGAAATTTTGTCTTCTTTATAAAACTGAAGTGCTAATTGAACTTACACACCTCAGTTCACCTCATGCAATGCATAGACACCTACAGCCAAATTTAAAGCAAAGAAGGCTGCAAATGCGTTGTCACCTCTGAAAGTTGAGAGGTAATGCCTCAGTGACTGTAATTATGCCTTTTAGACTGGAACGCTTGTACTGCTGTGTTACATTGCTATTTAGCCGCAGAAATAGGTAAGAAGGTACCTACCCCGAGGGACCCTGAGCCCATAAAAAGGAGTCCTATCACCCAGTAACATATAATAAAAGTAAAACTGAAGGCTGATGAGTAGATCCACTATTACGGGTATCCAGTATTACGGGTATTATTTAGATCTTAAGCTAGAAAAATAAATACTGTAATCATCTAATCTAATTAAACCAAAACGGGAATGAAAAATGTGACTCACCGTCAGTGCGTACATTTATATGAACCATTTCGAGCCACTTTTGAATCTCTCATTAAGGGGAAATATAACCTCAAATGGCTTAGCAAGATCCTCCGTTATGCCGAAAGTATTGCAGCATTAATTTTGAAATGAATATATAGTAAAGTTGAGGATTAATGTTAAGGTTTATGTTAGACGAAAACACGATTCCGTAAAATTTTCTCGATAGAAAAAAAATCCAAAGTTACCTCCAAACTGAACAATAAACCGCTGCTATTCATAAAATACTTTAAATAAGATCATGAAACTTTGCATACTAACTGAACTAACCATAAAGCAGTGCTTATGTTATTTACTTTTTTTTAAATATCATTATTTTCACTGTAAAAAAGAAATTACCTAAACTATCGGCGCGTAAGCTTGGTTCCTGTCGCTCAGTTAGTATTGCTCCGGCTTTTGAAGGGAGAAGTTGTGTCGCTTACGATCAGAAAACACATTACGCAACAGGAAGACGTAAAATTAAAATGGGAAATAACCGTTATAAAAATAAGAAGCGACTGGGTTGGCGTTAAGAAACAGGCATATATATGATAAACATAATGAAATAAGTATCTAACGACCTATCTACTTAGAGTATTAGTGATTACAAACATGTCGGTACATAGCATACGACGCGCGGGGGAAGTGGGGGCGAAATTAGAATTTGAGCTGACTTACTCTCACCTCTTAATCAAAGAATATTAGACCTACACATTTATTTATGATTGATATTAGAGATGATTAACGCAGGGTGGATGAAATGGCGACAGGTCACAGGCACAACGTGCGATCCCCGAATGCAAATAAGGCTGAAGGGGAAAATTTACAAATCGACCATCCGACCTGTCGTCATGTATGGAAGTGAATGCTGGGCCGTCAAGAAGAAGGATGAAAATAGATTGCATGCGAATGAAATGAGAATGTTACGATGGATGTGTGGTGTGACAAGGATGGATAAGATAAGGAATGAGTATATAAGAGGAAGCCTGAAAGTAGCGCCAGTGGTAGAAAAGGTGAGAGGAAGCAGATTGGCATGGTTTGGGCATGTGATGCGGAGGGATGAAAGTCATGTCACAAAACGAGTGTTGAATATGAATGTGGAGGGACACACGGGCAGAGGAAGGCCGAATAAAAGATGGATCGATTGTGTGAAGAGTGATATGAGAATGAAAGGAGTAAGTATGGAAATGACGGCTGATAGAGAGGAATGGAACAAGAAGATTTACTGCGCCGACCCCAGATAATGGGAAATGGTTTAGAGAATGTGATTAGACCTACACATTTGTAAAATTTCATACCCAATAGGTATCCAAAATTTTATGACGACAAGTGGTAAAATTAAAAGTATTTTTCAACCGACTTCAATATATATAAAACGAGAACATCGTCAATGTAGTCAAAGCCTTATTAAGAATAACTCAAAAACTATACTCAAAAAATACAAATCTTGATCAAATTTATAGAGGACAATATAAAAAGCACCAGCTTTCAAATAAAAAAAGAATCATCAAAATAAAAAATAAAAAGTTTTGGGGTAACATATAAAAAATACTGTCGAATTGAGAACCTCCTCCTTTTTTTAGGTTGGTTGAAAACTGTTATAATTCTTGTATTATTAAGGTATTTAAAGTGCTATTTTAATCGCTCTCTGATTCACTCATTACAAACCTGGGCCATTTCAAGTATATTTTGTTAGCATTGTTCGTAAATGTTTATCAAAAGGGTACAGTGTGTCGTCGGAAGAAGTAAGTTTATAGTTTCTCATTTAATTTTAATAATATTTTAAAGATTTTTGTTTGCTTGCAGTCGGCTACAGCATCATCTGTGTTGTTACTACATCTGGGAGCTGTTGGTGCTTTGGCAAGTGGTGCAGCTTTATGCGGTGGTGGTGGAGCGTGCGCATGTGGTGCTATTCTTCATGCACTTCATCCGCTGCAGTTATGGACTGTATGTGGTCTGCATGCAGATCGTGCTGCCGCAATTGCAGCGCCATTGCATTACGCCGCTATAGTTTCAGCTCGGAAGGTACGACGGTTTTAAGTTTGTTAAGGAGTAAATGCCCGCATGTATTACAAGAAAGCGCGTGCGTAACAAATATATGTCCCAGTATAGAAATACAATGTACGTAGTAAGGGACGCTTGAATTGATTGCTGTAGCACGCGACCTCAAGCCACACGCTCTGTAGAACACTTTCGCATCAAGTTCAAAAAGTACACATGATCCACAACCTACATTTACTTTCACATCCTTTATAAAGATTTATGATAAAAGAAAACCTGAAACTGTAGCTTAGCTTTTAATCTTCCTAGAGCTCTTTAAGCAATTAAACGGTTGTGATTAATACAGTGCTATGTTCGCCACAAAACATAGTGATCAATAGCTAAGTGAACAGGTTTTTATTACCAGTGATTAACTCCTATCGTTGTCCTTATGCTGTTTTTATTGTAAATCTGATTTAGCATTACGATTTACCGACATATTTTTATACAATTGCGTACTAACTGAGATGAGTATTATTTTGACACCCAGTTGTAAAATTCGTCACTTTGCGCAAGAATGTTTTCAATGATAAGGGTCATTAGCCTCTATCAGGTAATAAAATGTGTCATTGTCAAATAAAAATAGGTTACACTCATACTATTGATACAAACAACATGCATTATTATGTCAACGTATATAAAACCTTTTCTCCATTGGATATTGTTATCGTTATATAAGCGCGACTGTTCTAGTAATTTCCGGTTGAGAGTGAAATGACCTGGATTTCCTTAGACAGTTTCATATTCCTCTTATCGATATAAAATCATGTGCTACAATCGGGGAATTAATTATTTCTGAAACGTGAAAGTGAGGTCTAATTTGGAAAGCGACTACGAGCAATTGACGTACAACATCTACGATTATTAAGTACCTTACCAAAGAAAGTCAGCAATTTTTGATCAAATAATTATATATTTTCTGAGTATGTGGAAGAATGCATCAACTTCTCGTTATGATCGGCATTTTAATTCACCCCGCACGAACAGTTTTGCAATTTTACGTAAAAACTACATGTTTACCTTTGGATTTATATATTTACAATCATAGATTTACTTTAATGAAAAAATAAATAACATCTTAAAATATTAACCTAATGTTTATAAGATACTTTCAAGTAAAAATTAGGTTAATCATCTAATAATAAGGATAAACATTTTTATATCGAAATTTTATATCTTTCTTCTTTTTCTCTTAGGTCGTGATTTGCGTCGTAGGCGGATGGGTTGCTTCTGCAGCCCTTTTAGCACCATTGGCAGCTGCTCATCCACCATTAACCTACAGCATAGGTCTTGGGATTTGTACGCCTGATTGTGGAGCCGGACCATCAGCTCTAGTATTTTGTATAGTTTACTCCGTGTTAACGTTATTACTCCCAACAGCACTTGTTCTACTCTGCAGTTTAAAGATCCTTCGAATTGCTCGCTATCATCGACACAGAATTGCAGCTGCGATTTATGAGGTAACGCTTTCTGCACAAGTGACAGTGACTCATCAACGAAACCCTTTTTCCCCTCCACCTCCACCACGAAGACGTGCATTGTCTGCCGTATTACAACCTCTTGGTTCATTAGCTATATTATACTTTCCATACTACTGCGTTTTGATGTGGCCAGCCATTGCCGTACCCCCTCAACCACTAGCAGCTTTGTCAGCAACGCTGCTTGCAGCAGCTCCTCCTGTTAATGGCATTTTGTATGGTATTCGTAGTAGAGCTCTAAGAGATTCACTCCGGAATTACAGAAGGAAACAATTGACAAAAAGTGAAGTGACTCAAGAAATTCAAGCGCGCACGCCCAGTGCATGCGGCTCCAGAAGACCCTCACTATCGGCAGGCTCAGGGTCCATACGGCCACCGACTACTAGACGGTTGTCAGATGCAGCAGCAATGGGGTCAAGAGGTTCAGAAAGGCCAGCTCAACGAGCTACTTCATGTAATATGCTGCAGGGCTCACAAGAAGAAGACTACCCCCGACCTAGAGTATCCGCCATACCACTGATCCGTGCTCCTCCGCATGTTGTTTTAGGTCGCGCTTTGGGCCTTGAAGAAGGTATCAGTAGAGATCGACGTCGCCGTCAATCACCCCGTATAACCGTAACTCGAGCAATGTCTGACGAAAGTGATTCGCCAACGCGTCGACCGCTTTGTCGACAACAGTCACGCTCTAGTGGGGCCTTACTGGGAGCAATGTCTTGTTCTCGGGCACTCACGGAAAATATTCGACTTGACAATCCAGCTGATGAACAACTGTTGCTCTCTTGGCCTCAGAATGCTCATGTTAATAAGCATGAGGTTATATAAAACGGGTATATCTATATATTAGGCTTGCTATTTTAAATTATTATGCGTATAAAGACAATAAAAGCGCGTACGGTACGAAGTCGAGTGCAATTAGTTGTTTGAATGATATTTTTTAATGCTTTTTATCAAAGTTACTCGACATCTCTGACCAAACTGTGACCAAATATTAATGTATCCTATCTCTATTTTCTACTCTATCGTAGACGTAATAATTTATCTTACAGGGTTCCGCCATATCGTTAGCTTTACCTACTAAAGTATTACTTTAGAGCGTACTTCTAAATACTATCTGGAATATTCCATAGGATTAAGAACGATTTGATGAGATTATTAATTTTTATTTTTTTATTAATTTCGTAAAGTATAAATGTATTTATATGCATAAAATAATATAAAGAAATATAGGCCAATAGCGATTTTGTGGTTTGTTGGAATATATTGTACTTAACTAGTCATCAAGTATAGGGCTATAATTCTAAAGTAAAATTATAATAGGTAATAAATATTGCAACGCTTTCAAAATACTATCGCCGTCCAGAGAGTGGAAAATATTATGTTCTTATAACGTTTAAACCCACTGATACGAAAAAGAAGCAGGTTTGTTTTATAACAGTTGAAGAAAATATACCATTTAACACAACAAATTACTTCATTTGTCTATGTGAAGTAGATAATTATGATATAAAATTTGAAATATGTATTAAATAAAACAGATTTAAGGTCGAACTTGAATGGCCGAACTTCAAAGTATAAAATTGTAATAGCAAATTTGTGTATGAGATAAACATCAGAAATCTTGTTACAAATATAATATAATGAGTGAAGCCTTAAAGCTAATAACTAAGCTTAAGGTAAGGAGAAGAGTGTTAATTGGGCGAGTGCGGCATAAATTTTAAGCGACCGCCGACTATTATAAGAATACAAGACGTGCGTTTTTCATACGAGTGGTGAATGCTCGTTCCGCTTAATGCTCACACTACAAACCTAATTCCATGTATTACGTTTCATCTGTTTAGTTTATTAAAGTTATAAAGGATTTTTTTAATTTAGTTTTTCATAACTCGGAAACATTCCAATAACAGTGTTGTTTGATGAGAAGCTTTGTAGAAATTTGAACAATTTAGTACCTTGTAATGAAACAATAAGCGTAAATGTTAAATAAAAATTGCTTTATTAAATGAAATAAAATGTTGTAATTGAAAACTTTATTTAAAATAAGTATACTAATTTATGGTGTTACATAATAGTAAATGTCTAAGAAGATAACTGTGTGATATTCTATAATTTATGAGATGTTACTTAAATTATGTTTGTTCTACACTCTGCCCTCACAAATTATTTTCTTTAAAGATAAGATTATAATATTTTTTTGTAAAAAAATATTGTACCTGAATTTCTTTAATTATAGAAGATCACATTATAAAGAATTGTTAATCTAGTCAAAGAGCTGTTGTTTACAATATAATGTGTTAATTTGACTTAAATTTTAATAGACTTTAATAAAAGACGTGAAATTACATATTTATTTATTTCGAATAAGAGTATCTTCATGTTTTTTTTTTAATTGAAAAACAAACTAACTTACTGTACACATGGTGGTGAGTGCATATTGCAATCACGGCTGACTAATGCCGCATTTTTATATTTAAAAACCGGAACCTACCCAGGTGGACTTCTAGGCTAAAAGGGAATATCACCACCTAGAATTGTAAGAGAATTATGATTTTGTTATACCTTTTTCATGTATTATTTAATAAAACTAACAATGATGTTAGTAAATTGGGGAAATTGTTTGCTAGGATTGGCTTATAATATGAGTGCTTCTTTCGTAACTTCCTTTCTATGGGCTTGCCAAGCAATTTGATCAACAGTTTCCTAGCTGATCGGAGCATCTAGGTCTCAGTAGACGGTGCATGCTCTGATTACAAGCTTATTAACGCTGGTGTTCCACAAGGTTGCATGCAATCACCTAAGCTGTTTCTTCTGCATATCAATGACATGTTGCAAACTGGTAGCTTTCATTGCTATGCAGACGGCAGCACTGGTGATGCTGTATACACCGGCCGTGCCAATATTTCTCGGGAAAACTTCACCGAGTATTGGGACAAACTCGTGTCTGAAGTTGAGTCTTTGCTGAAAGTCTTGAATTGGTGGCGACTAAATCTAGTTCAGTTCAATCCCCAGAAGACACAAGTTTGCGCATTTAGCTGAAAAGAAGCCCTTCGTCGTATCTCCTCAGTTTCAAGGCACTCCCCTTGCTGCCTCAGCTAGTATCAGAATCCTCGGCGTCGACATGTCGATTAGTGTGCAGTTTCATGTTCACGATGAAAGCCTTGATGAGGGAGGCGATGAAGGCCAAATTTGCCTTTAAAAAGCTTGACATGCTCAGCAGAGTGAGACAGTATTTCATCCCTGCACATAGCTTGCAACTTTACAAAGCGCAAGTTCGGCCTCACATGGAGTACTGTTCTCATCTTTGGTCCGAAGCATGCCAGTGCCAGCTCCTTCTGCTTGACGATCAAGTCCCTTTTTATAAAGAGGGGGACGAGCATACGGCTCACCGTAAATCTTTACGTAAGTGATTACCGCCGCCCGTGAACAACCGCAACACCAGGGGAATTACAGGTTCGTTGCCAAAGGTGTATACTCTTTTCTTGAAGGACCCTAAGTCGTATCGTCCGAAAAATTCGCCGGTGGTAAACAAACTGACAGACAAGTGGTACGAGAAAGAAAACTCTTAGTAAAACGCACAAAGGTTGACCGCCAAGCATCTAGATAGTAAGGATAGTATCGTGAATTTTGAACGCGATGTGCGTTCGTGAAATTTGGCGGCTGGAATTAATCATGACAAACCCTCAGAACACTCCCCATGGTAGATGCGATAGAAACCGCTAAGGGATGCAACATCACTACGCAGCGCCAGTAAATTGAGCCGATCAGATTATATGGACTACGTTATATTCATAATTATCATAATTTCGTTCAAGGGGTTTCTCAACACCTTGCAAGTAAAAAATATATTTTTTCCCAAGAAAACTTTGTACCCTTGTGTTAACACACGTATTTTATTACTTCAATCCAAAAGTAATTGCACCAATTTTTATAAAAAATATAAAAAAAAATTCTCTCTGAAAAATTAATTTTAAAAATAAAAAGTGTCGCAGAATCCGTAACAACCTATTTCACCTCTTTAGCGATCGAATTTTCGAAACTACTTTCTCAGTGAATGCAAACGTAGTTATAATAGGAAGATTCTACGTCCAGCGATTTGTTTCATTTTTTTTCTCCACACAAATTTGGACAAATTATATCAGTAAAATTCAAGACAATTGCTCCGTAAACTAAAAAGTCTCGTACAATATGTAACACCCTAGTTTACCCTCTTAGGAGTTGAATTTTCCAAAATTACTTCTTAGTGGATCAAGTAGGAGTCAAATTTCTAGGTCTAGCGATTTAGCCCGTGCGTGGATTGATGAGTCAGTCACCCTTTATGTAAATAAATAGCTTGCTCGCTTATGTAGTATATAATTCTACCGGATAATGGTGATATATATGTATAGTCGGATCTATAAGGTTCAATATGTAATATTTGCTAAAATACTGCTTCTATTCAAAACCATGTATAGGTATTGTACACTGAACGTAAATTAATTAAGTTTATACGCTTGCTAACACATGAAGGTTCCGAGTAATTTGATTGGTTTATTTCCAAGTGACTTAATAATACATCGAATTAACACAGCATTACTTCTTTGTGTCATTTCCATGAATGAAAAGGGAATTTCATTTCTCACAGCTTTTCGACTATGTGGTGCTATCTTTCAAGACTTGACCACAAACTCCGAAAATTTTCTACTATCCCTTGTACCATCTTTGAAGGTTTTTATTTTATGTACACGCACATAAAAACTCTAGAAATTCTTACAATAATGGTGAAAACCGCGTCATATCCATCAAGTAGTTTTTATGTTTTAAGCAAGCACATATATACCCTGATAATATATAAGATAAATATGTTGTATACTATTTATTTACAAAAGGAAACAAAATTTTATTCATTCCATCCATTACAGCCAATAAATGTCGACTGCTCGAACATAGGCCTCCCTCATAGAATACCTCATAGAGCGTTATTTTTCCACAGTTGCCACGCTTGGCGAACGGGATAGGCGGGATATCTCTAGGAAATGGTCCGTCCATCTTGTACTGACTATTTCCTAGAGATTATCTATTCGTAAGCGAGTGCTGCGAGTTGTTTGAAATACTTCCAGCCGCAGTAGCAGCATGAACTTGGTATTAATAGAACAATACACAGGAGGTTCACTTATTCAATCACTCACTAAATAAATCTATATCTTTATTGTCCGTGACAATATCACAATACAATTATATTTCACATAAGGTACAAAGAAAAAGTATAAAAAAAAAAACAATTTATACATTCACATTACATAAAGCATTAATAAAATATTAAACGAGAAATTTCACTTTTTTACTAGAAATTTCTCATGGCCATAAACCCTAAATGTCGAACATAAGCTTTATTAATATAATTGTCATTACTAATTTCACATATCTTGACAATACAACCATTAAATTAAAGAATTAAAACTTTTAAGCACAATTAAAACTTTACTTTTCTTCTAAAAATCGATTATTATTTCGTTATTTTATGAATAAAATTAAATGCTTTATCATATTCTCCCCTTATATATACATTATTTATTTAAAACATTCATTGCATGCATTTTCATATTTTATAATATAAGATATTATTTTAACTAATATTCTTAAAAAACGTTTCGTTCTTGCGTTTTTTGGTTCTGCTAGACACTCGTGTGAGTTCACAAACTCATCTTACACGACCTTCAAAATCCGATAGGAGGCTACTGCCATCCTTTTTTTTGCGCCCGAAGCAAATATGGGCAACCCTCCGGAAAGCGGGGGAGGGAGGTGGGGAATGCTCATAGCATACCACGCAGCCGGCTGCGTGGTTATGT